CCCGCCATGCAATGTTGGAGAGGCGGGTCAGCCAAGACAGCCCCACAACATCCAGAGACTTAAGGTACTCAGGACGAATCTCATCCACCCCCGGTGCCTTGCCACCAAGAAGCTTCTCAACTACCTCTGTGACTTCAGCTTGGATGATGGACAAGTCCATCTCTGAGCACCTGGCCTCTGCTTCCTCATTGGAAGACATGATGCCGGGGTTGAGGAGATCCTCGAAGTATTCCTTCTACCGTCCGATGATGTCCCCAGTTGAGGTCAACAGCTGCTCACCTCCACTGCAAACAATTTAGGCAGGGTACTGCTTCCCCCTCCTGAGACGCCGGACGGTTTGCCAGAATTTCTTCGAGGCCGAACGATAGTCCCTCTCCATGGCCTCACCAAACTCTTCCCAGACCAGAGTTTTTGCCTCTACAACCACCCGGGCTGCAGTCCGCTTCGCCTGCCAGTACCTGTCAGCTGCCTCAGGTGTCCCACGAGCCAACCAGGCTTGAAAGGACCCCCACCAAACTCCTCCCAGCCCCAATTTTTTGCCTCCACACCCCCCCGGGCTGCAGTTCGCTGGGCCTGCCAGTACCTGTCAGCTGCCTCAGGTGTCCCACGAGCCAACCAGGCTTGAAAGGACTTCTTCGGCTTGACGGCATCCCTTACTTCTGGTGTCAACCACCGGGTTCCGGGATTGCTGGAGGTGGAGAACATGGTCCATTCAGTCTCAATGTTTCCAGTCTCCCTCGGGATCTGGTCGAAGCTCTGCCGAAGGTGGGAGTTAAAGATCTCCCGGACAGGGGGTTCTGCCAAACGTTCCCAACAAACCCTCACAATACGTTTGGGTCTGCTGAGTCTGTCCAGCTTCCTTCCCCGCTATCGGATCCAACTCACCACCAGGTGGTGATCAGTTGACAGCTCCACCCCTCTTTTCACCCGAGTGTCCAAGACATACAGCCGGAGGTCAGATGAAACAACCACAAAGTCAATCATCGACCTCCGGCCTAGGGTGTCCTGGCGCCACGTGCACTGATGGACACCCTTATGCTTGAACATGGTGTTTGTTATGGACAGACTGTGACTAGCACAGAAGTCCAATAACAGAACACCACTCAGGTTCAGATCGGGGGGCCGTTCCTCCCAATCACGCTCGACGTCACGGTCCTTGATTTTGATCTATTCATAAAGAGCTTTCTGAATCGCTCTTAGTCTGACCCGTCACCTAGGACCTGTTTGCCCTACCAGGGGCATATAGCCCCCGACAACATACAGTAGCTCCTAGGATCACTCGGGTACTCAAACCCCTCCACCACAATAAGGTGGCGGTTCAAGGAGGGCTTTGAGGGGTTTAGTCCTTTAAAAACTGCACTAAAAGCATTAATCCACATTGTGTGTGCACTGAATGCATAAAAAATGAAAATAATTATGAAGGAATCATAGGTATTACCATTCTGATTTCACTGTACACAAAAATACATAGGTAGGAAAGTCAGATAAAGGTTGCAGATTTTCTGAATGTCCTTCTCAGCTTTTGTTTTCCATAACAAGAATCTAGGGTGTGTTCTGGGCTGCTACATTCTGCATAGTTGGAAGGGTTAGTGGATTTGATGGTTCTCCAAATGTCCCATAGCCATGAGTTCAGCGAACACACTCCAGACACAACAGTGACAGCTGGGGGAGAGATAAATAAAAACAGTGTCTCTCCATTACAAGACAGCAATCCAGACAACCCAGTAGCCTCTGTGTGCACAAGCATGCCAACATATCCACACACAGCACACACATGAACAAACCCACACACGCTTTTCCTCACACATTCACTCCTTCACACTTACTGTATTCACTGCTGCAAGGGTAACAGATGGAAAAACAAGAGAGGTGAGAAGAAGGGGAAAGTGCCACAGAGGATAATAAATGCTGCTGGACTTGGCCCGTTAGCAACCAGCATTCCTCTGACAGGTGTAACATGTTTACCAAACAAACAAGCAACACAAATGTCAGAGAAGTGAAAATGGTGACTTGAGGTTGCATGACCTGTGAAAAAAAGCCTGGTATCCAAGCTGGCATATCTATGAAGGCTTTGAAGGTATTTCAGAGGGATGAGAAGACTGCGTGCCACACCAGGATTGCAAGAGTGTCTCGCTGAATTTGTCTTATGTTACTCGCCCCAGGCATCCCAAGCAGTTCTGTTTGTTAGCTGGGGCCATCCAGGGTCACAGGCACTGGTGGGCAGTTTTTAAGCCTCTAACTTTCCTCATCACATTCCACTTCAGGGCAGTGGGAAAATCATCTTGCATCACAATCAAGCAAAATAACCACTTGGACCTGTCAAGCTAGACATGTAGACTTCCGCTCTAATCTCCAGTGACCTTGACCTCCAACAAAACCACTTCAAGTACTGTACTACTCTAGCTAAATTATTACTTACTGATTTAATATTGCTGTCATATACAGACAATCACTCCAGCTGGTGCGCTAGTGTCAGCCCATAGCCCATGTTCTACAAGTGGAAAATAATTGGAGTGAAGCACAAAGTATATTATCTAGCCCAAGGCACTAACTTACCTTTCCAGAAAGGAATGCAATCATTAGCTTTGAAAGTCATTTATCTTGTGAGTCCATGTGTGTTTCTCTTACAAAGCCATGACATACACTTAAACTGTGCTATACACCAATCACTCAAGATTCATCAATACGCCACAATTTTATACAAAAAAATTAGGCCAGGGTGTGCCTAATTTAGTAAATAGCAGATGAATGGTTCAGGTAGTTTATTAATCAAAATTACACTTTGTGCTATAAACATTGTTAGGTGATAGTTCAATAGTCTAGATATGACATCTACTGTCAAATTAACTTCAAAAGTGGGGCTGATTTTATAGCAAATAAAAACTGATCCTGACTCAAAGCAAATCTGACTGCTAATGCTTGTTAATTTAACAAAATAATTAACTACACTTTATCATCTTTACCATTTTCACTATACCAAACTGGATTTTGACAGTACTGCATGCCCATTAATTTGTCAGCAACAGTCATTTATTGTATTTACATTCTGTATGTGTCTCATTATATAGTTGTATTTACCATTATTTATGAACTTGGCCCTGCACAAGATTTTAATTGCCAAAGCCACTATTTGCTGCTCAACTGCAAACGGGTGTGTTTACATGTTTCTCTTCTCTTGTTGCATTTCTGACAATGTGCCTACTTAAAGGATAAGGCTGATCGTTTTCTATATTAATAGTATTGTCAAAAATCCCCATACACAGACTAAAACATCAATGAATTTCTTCTACTCACAGTTAGTCTTTCAGTCTCCAACCTGCATTATATTATTTGTCTGTGCTAGTTTTAATATCATCTGTAGTTAGCAAGAGTCCACTGTGTGTGTGTGAGATTGCCGTGCGAGCTCTCCGTTTTTATTTACAATTCACAGCACCTTGCTTACCAGCCTTATCCTTTAAGCAGGTACACACCCTTTATAACATGTCATTGAAGTGTGTTATTTTTAATAGAATCTGGGGGCGGTATCATTAAAACACACTTATTTGTAAAATCAACCAGCACTGAATTTTCATGTATTTGCTTTATATCAGCTGCCATATCAACTGCAGCTCAGGGAGAACTTTATTTTCACTACAAGAACGACTGATGAACAAATTTTGAACGAAATTCAAAATTGCTGGAATTGCAATTTTTAGGCAGCAGCAAAACCTTTAGGTTGGAAAAGCTTAAACTGCTTTACAGTGTAAATTTTCTACTGCATATCTAATAACTGTTTTAGCTGATTGCTGAACTGAATGTTTTTGTAATCGACACAAAACACCCACCAATATACCTTACAGTATATTAAAACCGAGATCACTGCAAATGTACAGTATCTGCCAACCTGTTCTGTCTCAGTAGTGAGTGTTGAGTACAGAGTGTACAGCAAACTTGAGAGAACGTCAGAGCTCTGATTCCTGTGTATTACCTTGAGGGCTGAACATAATCTCTAACGCAGCACTTGAGGACAGACACGGTTCATACACAACAACACACCCACACTCCCTCTTGTCTCCTGCACGTACATTTACACACATAAAGGTCCCACATTTATCCTATACGCTGGAAATAAGAGCGAGTCACATCACATCTAGAGTCAGCCAAGTGAAATGATGCTCTAAACTGTTAAGAAAACACAGACTGACAGAAAACGAGAAAAATGAAGATTGGAGCTCAATTTATGTCCAATTCAAACATGATCAAACATGTAACCTGCATCATCTGAAGAGCAAACAACATAAATCAAACATTACATCTTAGGAAGTCCTTCATTATTTCAAATGATGTGTGACATGATGGTCTTTGATGCCTTCATTGTCACGTTCCTGCTCAGAGTTTTTAACAGCTTTACCTGCATTTTAGACAAAGTCATGACGATTAAAAAAAAGAAAAGGATTACAGCAACTGTACAAATGCAGTCCATGGCAACTAAACAAAACATATAAACTCAGTTTATATATATTTTTTAACCAAGTAAAAAATATTTGCTCAATAAGACCCAAATGCAAAACTCTATAGAGGTTTTCTTGAGGGGCTAAATGACAGAATAACTTGAATGTGCATTTATCTTGCAATTAACCCCGTTTTTTTGAACATCTTTTACAACCTGAAGAGAAGAAATATGGATGAGGTGTTTTGCTCCAGGGCAGAACAGTGCTTGATCCAGGATTAAAAAAGCTTCCTCATTCTGGGAGGAAATGTGTTAACCCCTTCAAACCCTAAGGTTATGATACATGATACAAATGGTGCTGAACTTAACCATATACTTTACCTTGAGGAATAAGGACTGCATTTATTCCTCGGACACTTTCTACTTAACCTTGTTTCCTGAGGAGAATGCCTGAAGAGAGGCTAAATACTGCTGGCGTAGTTTGTCTGCTTTCATTTGTATTTGTCACTCAGGAAATGTTTTTATTCTTGAACAAATCGATCTCACTATAGTTTCACTTTTGAAGCTTTATGACTATAATCCTTCAGGTTTTCATCAAATCAAACCTTATTGTTACTATTTATGGTTGACAATTTTTCAGCAATATCCATTCAATTAAATCATTTTATCTTAGTCTTCATTGTTACTGGCAGGGTCTGCCTTTCCCATGTGGGTTTCAAATTTCCTACGCATGAACGAGGAATTTAGTAATCCAGCTTTTAGTGCTTACTGTTCACCGTCTTTACTGCTACTTAGCAATGTGTTACAGATATGATTACTTTTCCAGTAATGTGCATAGGTTACAGTTTGAAACTCAGTGATTACATTACAGTTACTAACCTCTAGTAACCGTTTACTTTGGGTCTTGGCTTGTTCTCTGTCTTAATGGGAGTTTGGTGAAAGGTTCAAATTAGTCTGGTCTCTTTAGTCTGTAGAAAGGTGCCCAGGATGTGCCAGTCTGGCACAAATGGAGGTGTGGGGAGGCTCTTAGTCTGAAGTAAAAAAATGTGGCTTTAGGCAATTCCAAAGTTGCCCTATCTTCCTCTTCCACTTTCGGCTGGTCCTGTTGGGGGTCGCCACAGCTAATCATCTGTGTCTACACTGACAATTTGCATGGTTTGAAATTTGGCACGTTTTTTACGCCGGATGCCCTTCCTGACGCAACCCTCTCTACTTATCTGGGCTTGGGAGCGGCACAGAAGTCACTGGCGTGAAACCCCTGTGGGTAGAGGTTCCTCGATCGGGAACTGAACCCGGGAAGCAGCAGCAAAAGCACTGAATCCTAGCCACTAGGCCATCAAGGACCAAAGTTGCCTTATCTGCATGCTGTAAATTCTTAACTTGCTCACTATATCAGTCATGAGGAATCCCCTAGCTGAGTTGAGTTGGATGGTGTGCGAACTGCACAAATTTACCTATTTATTTAATCGATTACAATTTATTCATATTAATGATCAACCCTTCATGCAAACTAATGTTAGTCATGGAGTTCCACAGGATTCTGTGCTAGGTCCAATTTTTTTTTCCACTTTATACATGCTTCCCTTAAGCAGAATTCTAGTTTTTAAATTAAAACGGCATGAGTGGGGTTTGTTGCACTGTATACAGATAAATCAGCTTCTGTTATATTTTTGACAAAGTATCTTCTTCATTAAGTGTTTGCTCTAGTATTAAAATACTTTTGCAGTTACCACCAGTCACCTCAAGTACTGCTAAATTTACCAGGATTGAAATCTTAATTTTTAACTTACTGTAACTTTCAAGGAGTTATGGTACTTGTGCTGCTCCAATAACAAGACTTCAAGAACTGTGGTATTGATGGAGGGTCAGATTTCACAACTACAGTAGGTGCATCTTTCAGCAAACAAATTCTTCTGTAGTACAACCAAGGTATTTGTATAAGTCACTAATAAGTTGCACAGAACAAAAACAGTATGGAGAAATCTTCATTTCACTATAAAGGAAAAGAACAAAATATGTAAACTTAAAATTTCACGTGTGTGACAGGCTGACAAGAGCATACGCCAAACAAGTCACAATGACACAAGGTAAACACACAAACCAAGGAGAAATTCCAGTACTGTCTGCACTGTAAAAATACACTATGAATGATAAAACTGACAAATGTGCCCCCATGCTCCAATGAATCTCTAAGGGGCTGAATGGCATGGGAATGAGCTTTTAACAGAGATGCCGGGGGAGGAAGAAAGGAGTCCCATTGCGAAAGAGTTGAATTACCATATCACTGAGGAGCAAAAACAAAGCTTCTCGACAGCAGCGGGGGATCCGTCAGCCAGTGCAGAGTGGTGTTGAAAAGTGGATATTTCTGAGTACTCAGATACCACACACTGGTAATAAGCAGTGGGGGAGATGGCACAGTTGTTTAAACCTCATAAAGCACATCCTGAGAATCCAAGCTTCAATGTTAAAACCTCTGATTAATCCTTCTAAAATTGACCTCTCTGTAAACAAACCTATCAAAATTTATTCAAGACTCATAAATAAGAGCAATCAACCTAAAAAAAAAAACACCCAAACCATTATATTAATGTTGCAATTTAGAAACCAAGGTTTCCTCGTGCCATGCAGTAGCCCAGTTTGTTCTGGTTACCAAGGAAAGACATGAGGCCCACATAGGCCTCAATGGGGATCTGCTGATTGAGCACCAAGACGCCATTGGCCTTCCCGGGAACTGGCTTCATGGAGTGGACTTTCTGTGCTGCATCCTTGAGCTGTTCACGAAACGTCTGGATCTGTGGAGAGTAGAATAGGAATAGCAGAAAGAAAAGAGACAACATTATTTCCTCTTGACAGCTTTTTGGCTGCTTTTCTTTGTTTGGGCGTGACATATCAGAATTTCTTTCAGCTTAAACCGTTGCACTGTAAAAAGACATTTTTTGGTTTGATTAATTACTTTAAAAAATAAACGAGACAGCAGAAAGTGCAAAATTCCACCAAGACAGCTCAATGTCCCCATAATACAATTACATTTAAAAACAATCTTCCCATGATAGTTTGACCCTCATAATACGATTCACTGCCCCTGAAAGTCTGTCCCCCAGCATTTGGAATTACATTGATATCATTATGAGTTTGAAAGTTATTCATGTCCAGTGTCTAGCTCTATACCATCTTCAGGGTGGTGGAGGGTTCATGGGAGTTTGCCCAACCAGTCCACATGTGTTTCGTGGATCTGGAGAAGGCATTCGACCGTGTCCCTCGCAGCACCCTGTGGGGGGTGCTCCGGGAGTACGTAGTCTTGGACCCTTTGCTAAGGGCCGTCTGGTCCCTGTACGACCCGGAGCAGGGGCTTAGTTCGCCTTGGCGACA